ATAGGAGCCAGAACCCTACTGTGAATTGCACATGCGAGGGATATGGGCTTTCTGCTCCTGAGAAGACTCTCACCTTGAGACTATCACCGTCACCACCACCAACAACAACATTCTCCCTCATACCCCACTCCCTACCGCTGTCCATGGAAAAACATCTCCACAAAACTGATCCCTGGCATCAAAAACTTTAGGACAGCTGGCACAAATGCTGTGAAATGTTCCTTCTGGTGGAATGAAATGTTCCTTCTAGAATGTTCTAGTTACAACATTCAAAGATACTATGTTTATAAGTGTAATAGGACTATTAAGCAGGCATTTTTAAAGTAAATAACTAATTTCTACTAGGTAAATACTGAAATGGTATTTTGTCGCATACTCTCCCTCAAACTACAGATGAGGAGGGACTACATAACATGTTCCTTTAGTACACTTGTTGTCTTATTAACACAGCACTGTGTGATTGTATGAAAACGTATTCAAATATTTCTCATCATGAACGCCCAACAATGAGACCAAAATAACACATTTACCCTTTCTTATCTTGAGCCACCACACCAATTTAACCATGATGTTCAGCACTTTCTTATTTGTTCCTTTGTGTTGAATGACCCAAATTAGAACAAAAAAGATAAAGAATATATAAGCTTCAAATTGTCAAATCACCACTTTCTGAGTAGCAACAACTACTTAATAACTGATTCAAGTAAGAACTTACTGTTTGATTATTAAGAGAAAGTCATAGATACCCTCCAGTGGAATGGGCAGTGAACACATCATTATGTGCTTACTGACGATTACATAACTAGTAGAGCGGTGAGTGTTGTTTTGAGGGCTTGACTCCTAACTGAAGTATATCTTTTAGAGCATCAAATGTGGTATTCATTCATCACAAGGAATACCACCCAGCAGGCAAGGATTTTCAAAGCTCAATAATGCTTTTCCCCCAGTGGAATACATTTTTCCAGTGAAGAGATAAAAATGCTTTAAACATTTTAAATCTAGCCATAGGGTTTTCTTTCTTCTGTGGAGAGTATCGAAAATTGCTTCAACTACTAAACAAAATCTTTTCATTGAAAAGTATTTTAATTTGGGGGGACTAAATCCAACAAAACTCTGATCTGTTAATCCTTATAATATTTACAGGTTTTAACTATATACCTGTAAACTGTAGAAATGACATATTAAAACTTGTACTTAACAAGTGATCTTGTTCCACTCCTTCTACCTATAATGAAATATAATTTATCTGTTTTTTTGCATATGACAAGTATGTGGGGATAAACATCCTTATTATCTCTGCTTAAATGTGAAAAAAAAAAAAAAAGTCAAGCAAGTACATTTTGGTTTGACCAAATTCTATTACCACTGATTAACTGAAGAGGTTGAATGTAAAATACTCTGATTCATGTTACACTGTTTCCATTTTTTCTGTCTGGAGGTTTTCATGTTTCACCTTAGAATTTTACTAAAACTTTAAAATGAAGATATTCTGTCTAGCACCACCACTGTGGAGGTAGAACACAAAACATACACAACAGAGAGAGTTTGAGTTATTTTCATTAATTGAATGTTATGATTATTTATAACTTTATTATGAACCAGTCCAAGGTTTATCAGTAACAGTATTTTCCTGAAGTGAATGTCATTAGTGAAGGAAGAAATATAATATCTGCAAGAAAATAATATTAGAAGAACTATAATCAAGTGAAAGATGAAAATCACATTTAAAAAAATAGGGATCGATCCATCAAAAATTGTTTTTATTCCAAGAAGTATTCCAATTATTTTTCATTCTTTTTACTCTGCAGATATTTACGGGACTTAGAAATTATCTATAATATTGTAAGTCAAGTTGCTGACACTTATTCTGGTCCTAGGATATTTCCATAAAACAGAATCAGACTATAGAGTAGACAATTGCAAGTTCTTGATACCAGCACCACCATCTTATCTCCATGAGTGTTTCAGTTGGCTCAGTGTCTAAATCCTGTATGCTAGCTTCCTGTGTTTTCACATAATAACTGTAGGTGTCTGGTGGTGTTACTAATTGTTAATAATCTTTCCGGGGGCTGGGGATTTAGCTCAGTGGCAAAAGCGCCTGTCTGGCAAGCGCAAGGTCGTGAGTTTGGTTCCCGGTACCGGAGAAAAACAAAAACAAAAACAAACAAACAAAAAAATCTTTCCTACAGACTGATAATCATGATGACATTCTTCATCACTGGGGAAATTTTATGAGGTATTCTAACTGACCCTAAGTAGTAAAGAAAGTCCTGTTATTGTCCATAAATATTTGAATAGAAAATATATTCAGGAATGAGGCAAGGGAAACAAAATTCTTGCTAATTAAGTATTTTAAATGTTTGTAAAATTATCATGACAAATTTGTTGATAATAATTTGTATGATAATTTGTTTACCATCTATTGATGTTGCTATCATTTTTGAATGCCCATATATATTTGACAGTGTCAAATATTTTTATATACTCAAATATTTCTGCACATGCTCCCCCCCCCTCAAAACAAGGAAATTGAGGCTCAGAGATGTTGTGGAACTTATCTAACGTCACAGAGTTAATAAATGATTGCTATCATTAGAATCCAGCTTTCTCTTGCTAACCTCTAGACTACTCTCTTTGGTTTCAAAATACATTTTTACTTTGTTTGCTGATTAACAGAGATTTTAACAGATTCTTGAACATTATACCTTCATTACTATTCGATATACCTACATATTTTAACATTTAGAAGAAAGATTTTCTAGAAATTTCTATGAATGCAAATTTAAAATATGGTCCTAATTCCTCTTAATAAAAGCTACTTTTATATGAAATAACATTATTATAGTAATAATTTGGGGTCATTTTGAAACTGAGAGACTATTACACTCTGCAAATAAAATTACTTTCTTCCCTGGAACATATTAGCTTTACCTATTCTGGGTTAATATAAAACCAGAGAGCGAATTTAACTTATCCAAATAATCAGTTTACCCTTAAGATATAAGAGATTTACTAATGACCTAATCAGGACATTTAAAATCAAATTATGTACACATAAGGCAATGTGTACGTGCATTGCAAGATAATGAAATTTCTGAATAATGACTTGATTTGAACAGTGTTTGATCAAAAGTCACACTAATATTATTTTATTAAAATCAACATAAGTTTTAATAGGGCTGGGGATTTAGCTCAGTGGCAAAAGCACCTGCCTGGCAAGTGCAAGGTCGTGAGTTTGGTTCCTGGTACCAGAGAAAAACCAAAAAAAAACCACATAAATTTTAATAAAATAAACAGTATTTGTCTAAATTTCCTTTTGGGAAAGGCATTTTTTAAAATGTAGGACATTTGCCTTTCTGATATTCCAAGCATTTAGTGCCAGATAATTTACCTAAGAAAAGTAACCTTTAAACTATTTTCAAAGATCTCAAATAAGTTATTAAATTTAGCCATGAATTTCTTTATCACAGGGTTAAATAAAATATCAGAGTGGAGAATAAGTAAGCTTAATTTCAAAAGTCCATATGCTCACAAGCAAAGATTTTTTAAAAAAATTTAAAGATTCCTTTCTAAACATTATGTCCTGAGGGAGACCAATACAAAGCATCCCTGAACAGGATTTAAATTAACCAATTGATTTTCCATGTTTGCTTGTGGGTCTGTCCAAGGCTTAGGCTCCTTGTCTGGAGATGGGCGGTGGACTCTTAGTAAGTAAACCTCTGTGAGTCACTAATCCCTTCTAAAGCCTGTAATGGTGAATGAAACTAGAAAGTCTCAAAGGATAAAACAAGATCACAGTTAAGGACACCTGGATCTGATCTCAACTAGCTAAAGACTATAGCCTCAGGCATCTCACTCCAGGGTAGATTAACTTAATACCTTACTTGGAGAAGTCTTTGAATGGTTCCACCCTTCCTGATTGCTCCCCTCCCTTCTTTTGATAACTAACTAAATAAGGGCCACCCAGAGAAGTTCTTGCCTGAGATAATCTGGAACCCCTGAGAGGGTTTTGATCCTCCTGGAGCCCTGAAATCGTTCCATTCACTTCTTTTTATTTAGCCTTTGCTATACACCTGTTAAAGAGATTGCAGATCTGATCAACCATCAATAACTAAGGGATATTATTAACCTCATAATATACCAAGAGGATGTTTGTATTTTAATGTTTGATAAAAGCAAGTGTTTACAAAGATACTAGGAACATCCATGAATGTCATCAAAAGTAAAACAGTAACCCAGGAAACATACAACTTACTTGAGAGATTGGAAGATTTGTTTTTATAAGTTAAAACTCTTAAGTGTGGAGTAATAAATCTAAATGCTAATAAGAGAGACATACCTAATATTTGTACTATGTCTTAATTTAGCAATCAGTACAAGATTGCTTATTTCAGTTTAACAGTGTCTAACATTAATCTCTAAACATTCATTTATATTACCCAGAGCAAAATGTTAACATTCAGTTTGATTTCTTTCACTATTTATTAAAACACAAGGAAGTAAGGTAAAATCTGACACCAAAACTACATATACTGTGATAAAAATAGTTTAAAATAGCATTTAAACTTTTTCATTACTTTGAATTTCATTTGCTACTGCTTACATTAAAATTGATGATTACATCTTAAAAACATTTTAAATAAGATTATATTTGAGTGTATAAAAGACCAAAAAGCATTAAATATCTTTATGCTTATAACTAACCAAAGTAAAATGTTATTAGGAAAAAAAAAGAGACAAATAAAAATAAAAAGAAAACAAACGGTAATTGTAGCATGTTATTGCATTTGCAATTAAAATGTTAAACTTTAGAAAAATTATATTTTATTTCTTTCAAGTAAAGCATATTTTGAACAATCTGTGCTAAGTTTAAAGCCTAATCTGAAATTCACCTTATTTTTCATTTTTAATATCAAAGTAGAGATAGAAATGTATATTTCTATAATGTTTAATAAATCATGTGAAGACCATACATGAATTATGAATAAAAATCTATTTACCTGCATGGAAATCTATTCCCACAGCAAATGAGGTTCCTGATATAGGCATCAAAGCATCCATTTTGTCACTTGGTTCAAGAGGTACTCCCCTGATTCCTTCATGAACGGAGTACATAAGAAATGATTCTATACCTGAAGGTGGCAGAGGAAGCCCAAAACAAATATTAAAATCAAAAAATATCATTACTATTATTTTTAGCAATCAATATAAATTAATAAATTTTGTATTAGTCCTCTATTTCTGATTTTTTTTTTAATGCACACTATCCTTCCTGACTGGTGGAAAGGTAGGAGATCTATGCTTCTGAAACTTCCTTATGCATCATAATCTCCTAGATGGTTTTTTAAACCATGTTGTTTAGCCCCATGGCAGGGGCCCAGTAATTTGAAATTCTATGAAGTTCACAGGTGAGGATGAGGCCCCTTGTATGTGGACATCACTTTCATAAGCAATGAAGTAGATAATCCCTGGAAAACTTGGCCTCCCAATCAAAATTCATTCCCCCTCCTCTAAATTCAAGAATCTCTTTCCTCTTATAGGATAATAAACTTTGTTTTTAGGTAGCTATATTACTATTACTGTTCTAATACTCATTTGGATTTCTTAAGGGATATTAAAATCCCTAAACTTCTAAACTCTTCCTGAAAAATAAGAATGCATCAACAATAAAATTAGTTAATTTCTGCTATATATGTCTTACTTCTAAGCACCAAATGCTGGTGCTGAAAAAGGCAGGCATATAGTCTTATTACAAGAAGTTCATTGCCTAATGCTTATCAATATTATGAATATATTAGAAAATATGTATCTAGAAGTGTGTACAATATGAACATTTTCTTATTCAGATTAAAATGCCTGAATTTAAATTTATTTCTGCTGCTTTTTAGTCATATGACTTAGACATAAATAACTTCTCCTAACCTCATTTTTCTCACCTATGAAATGAGGATAATAAGAGATCTAATTACTTCGAAAATTAACATGCATAGATTGATTAGAACACTGGTTAGCATGCAATAAGTGTCATATAAATATTTTATTTAATCTAAAATAAGTAAATATTAAATTTAATCTAAAATAAATTACAGTAACATCCAAGTTAAGGTCTGATATGAGATAAAAGATCATTCTAGGACCAAAGTTCTTTGGAACTATTACAGCTAATGAAAGAAAGGTTGTTTCAGTTGTGCTTCTTTTGGAGAAATATTCTTCTCCCTCAGTTATGCAAACCTTAGGTCTATATCTGTCTGATGCTTTTTATAAAATAGTTGAAAGAAAATAAACATAACCAAACTCAAATTGTACCTTAATCCCACAGCTTTTTATCTCAAATTTTGTTTTTCAACTTGAACATAGAAATTATTAGCCTTAGTTCAAAGTTAGGTACTAACTGAAGCTGCTGAAGGCAATTAAAATTTAGGAAATAATATTAATAACAAAAATGATATTTCAAATATCTCTAATCCATTGAAATTCAACCTGTATGAAATGATGCAGTGTACCATTGGTCTGATGATTACTTAACATTATTTTTACTGATTTTAACTGACTTGGGTTGCATAAAATCTTCATGGTAGATGATGGATGAAGTAAATGCCAAAGTTTTCCTTGAACTTATACCTTGGCAGGACATGCGGTTCTTCTGGAGATAGTACCCCACGGTACACATGCATGTTCGCGTATTTTCAGAGGTTGGCAAACAAAGCTGAGAACACCCACCATTGTTTAGGTGGCAAGAATTGCTGCCTGCAGAGAAGGAAAGCAGAGAAAATTTTTAAGAGAAATACAAATTTTAAAAATAGTTTTATTTAAAATCAATGCATAAACAAAGGTCTATGCTAACCATTTCTAAATGTAACTGTTTCATATTGTTTACAATCACATTTTACTCCTTCCAATAGGTTAAAGCAGTAGTTTAAAGCTGAAGAGTGCCCTCCAAGAAAAAGAAACAAAAGTATTTTTAGTTACAGAAAGTATAAGGACATTGCTTTGTCCTGAGGACTGATATACAACTTTAAAAATACTTTAAGATCACAGAACTCAGCAGCACTCAGGAGGTTGACGCAGGATCGTTACAAGTTCCAGACCAGCCTGGGCTACAAAGTGAGCTCAAGGCCAGCTTGAATTGCATAGTGAGACTATGAAAAAGACAGAAAAAAAAAAAAAAATCATAGAAATCAAGAAACCTTTTGGTTCTTAAATTTCATTTCATCCCTATGTTTAGTTCTTTGACAAAAGAATATTTTTTATCTATAAGTGTCCTATCAATAGTTAAATATATTACTAACTCAACTCAAAGACTTTGTCATTAAAAGAAAGGAAATATACATGTATCTATTTATTTATTTTTAAAATGAAGGAAATACATTTTTCCATGCCTAGAAACATAATGTTCCCATAATACGTGGAAAACACTCTCACAAGAGACATCTAATTAACTGGTATATTAAAAAATTCTCCTTCTTTCTATATAGTAGCAAATGTTAAATATTAGTCAATAAATCACAAGTAGCATTCTAGCAAGACACTCAGTGAATTTACTAGCCCCAATGTGCTAATTACAGCTGGTAGCATGAAGTTAAGTAATTTATAATCTTATGCAGCAAGTCCATTAAACATCTCATTTTTACATTTTTATTATTCTAGGACACGAAGTGCCATTTACTAGATATTCAAACTCTGAAGTACAGTAACCTCGCTGTGAATTAAAAAGTTTGATGAAAAAGGCATATCAATACTGCCCTACGGAAAATTCAAAGTACCAGTGCAATTCATTGTTTCTCATCATCTGAAGTGAGGGTAGTCTGGTGGGATTTAACTCTTCAGTGGAACTTGTCACGAACTATCATTCCTGATGTGAAATACTCTCAATCTGGGAAGTTTCTCATCAGGAGATTTACTGCTACACTCTCTGCTCGTCTTCTAAACCTATTATTTAGTTGATGTCGAACTCCATTTTAAGTAAATTCTACTTTTGATATGATTTTATTTATCTTCTATATAAACTAATTAAGAATAGTTGCTTAATTCCCAATTTCTCAAATTGATTTTTAAGATGAAAATCCAGACATCCGATATTTCTAATGAAGATTTATTGTAATTGGCAGTAATATCATATAGATATTTCATTGTTAGAAACCATTATATATTAGCTTAATGCAAATATGTAGGTATGGATTTAGATGTAGACTGGTTTTAACTACCAGCAAAAGTGCACAGGCTGGGAAGAAACCTAAAGATGACACTAACAGTTCATTCTGATGGAGCACCTCATGCAGAGGAAATATAAGGAACTAACGACACAGAGAAAAAGAGGACACAGAAGAGAATAAATTTATAAGAGAAAATGAGATGGCATATAGCCTTGATAATTGCAGAAGTATGTGGATGAAGCAGGAAAAGGACCTTCTGAGATGGCACAATTTTTAATACAAATTTAATATCAATAGATTGTACTTTATTGACAAATAATAAATTTAACATATTTTAACAATTATATTTTACACTAACACACATTGTGTGTTGCACTAATAACAACACATCTACAGTACTGGTAGAGAAGTGAACAGTGGAGAGAAAAAAATGAAAAGTAATAATAAATGTGCACATATTTTACAATAAGCACCTTTTCTATTAAGCATGAATGGAGGCGGGAAAATATTGCAGTGTATTTTAAACTAGTCATTTGTGTAGTGATTATCTATCAAGTTAGTACCGTGTACTAGCTTGGATTCTATTGTATAATGATATTGATGTTCTTGCTTCCTGCTCTAAGTGACTACTGGGCTAGAAAGTTCATCTGACTAACAAGGAGCTTCAACTCTCCAGCGATCTGTGTCAGAAATGATTAATGAAGAAGCTAATCGTACTTTGAAATCCAAACAGGTAGTAACGGTAACACCTCAAAGAGTCCTAAACTGTTCATATTTCATACTAATGAAGCTTTAAACCACCTGTAGTAATTCTGCTAATGGCACTGTCTTTAATGTAGATGCTGCTATCAGTATATACTTCTGGTTAAACAGTATTTTCACTGTATCTTAAATGTGCTTGTATCTAGGAATGGTGGCACATACCTGTAATCCTAGCATTTGAGAAGCTGAGGCCAGTGGATGGCAGTGATACTGAGGCCAACCTGGACTACACAGTGAGTTCAGTGCCAACCTCAATTACCTAGGGAGACCCTGCCTCAAATCCTCCAAGCCTCTGACACTATAAAAATTAGTTTATTTGTTTGTTTTTCTCCGGTACCGGGAACAGAACTCACAACCTTGCACTTGCCAGGCAGGCACTTTGCCGCTGAGCTAAATCCCCAGCCTCAAAAATTAGTTTATTATATCACTGACATCTACATGCTACAGGCCCTGTCTGACTGCCTGTAATGTTTCTGCCTAACTTAGCTATCTATAACAATGCCTCATTTGAAATTGAAGGCCAGGTGTGGTAGCACATGCTTCAAAGCCCAGTTCTCAGAGGCTGAGGCAGGATTGGTGTAAGATTAAAGCCAGCCTGGGCCGAACTATGTAGAAATTTTGTTTCTAAAAGACAAAAATAAAAAAGAAATTCATATTCATTCAGTCTTTCTCTTTTTCTGCCTCTCTACCTCTCTCCTCTCTGTCTCCCTTTCATTCTATGTTGTATTTTCTATATTGTATTTTTATATCTAACCTCATACACATATGTAGATGATGCCATGATTCACAACAGTGCTATAACTTTTACACTTGATTCTATTAAATATATAAATATGTTGTGATATGCTTTATTTACCAATTATCAAAACTTTATTCTCAATTACATAACCTATTCCTAGTGTACAGGATGCTAGTAATATTTATTTATGTATTTATTTAATGATTGATTCCCATGCTGAAAAATTATAACCAGGGCTTTATACATGCTAGGGAAGTGTTCTACCACTGACTTACATTTCCTGAACAAACTATGTATTTCAATATAGATGCTGTGCCATTACTGAACTGGTAGATAGTAATAAGAAAGTCATAAAATGAATAGATTTGGACATAAGAGTTTGGGTGTTAATGCATTCTTAACAATAAAAGGAGTCCTACAATCATTTCAAATTCATCTTCAAAACAAGTATGTTCTCTTCAAGTAATTTTTTTTTCCCCTCTGGCATTTGCATGTACAGATTCCAGACCAAAGCTTGCCCCGTGCTGTGCAGAGACAAGGCATCTGGCTGCCATTTTGCCTCCTGTTGTATACATGGACTCCGAACTGCTATTGCCCCTAAGTCTTGCCTGCTGGGTGGTTGGCACCTGTTTGCAGAAACACTGGTCCCCTTGGTTCTAGATTCTTCATCCTACCCTTGTCTGCTTTGGTCTACATGACCAAAATCCATCAGAGGAAATCTCTTTCTTAGTATGCAATTTGTTTTTCTGAAAAATTTTCCAAAGAGGAAAAGTATGCCAAGTTAAAGACTCACATAGTAAAGACTAACATAAGAAGTAGAGTAAAGAAAAGGCTTCATGTGTTCAGGAGGAGCTCTGTTAATGTTATGGACCATGAAGCAGAAACTACGCAAGGCTTAGCAGATGTGGCGCTGTACTGGCTGGCATCTCTAATCCAGTTGCCACTGGGCAGTGTGACAACTCCACCCATGTAAGTCATCTGTTAGTTCTTGCACTCAATTTCACTCATACCCCATGGCACACAAAACCAAAAAATCAAAATGCTTAGAGCCAGACAATGTAGTGTCTTTGAATGTGTAATGTTTTAGGTACATATAGTTCAAGTATCATAGTTCATTCTGTTCGGGGCTTCATTACATGTTGTACATACTTCACAGGAATATATTTTCTTATTCTTATGGTTTAGTTAACAACTAGGAAGGAGATTTCTTTGAAGACCTGATAAATTAAGATTCCTAGGGCAGCTTTGTTAGTGCTTTGAAAGCTTATTATCCACTTTAAGTTCAAAACATTCCTCCTACTGTATTAAGCAAAAGTTTTATTTTTCTTCCTTTTTTATTAGAAATAAAAATGACAACCTTCTGTTGTTAAGCTGAGGCAACAGTATAGAAAGGAAGAAATGTCAGTTTGCCTTACCTTGCTGGGCTTGTTTATCATACACTTTCATATGAACAACCCCAGCAGTCTTATTTCGCAGAATGGTAGGGTTTCTCCCATCTCTTTTGCTGCAGGTTCCCAGCTGAGCTAAGTTCTGGTCTGCCCACCAGAGCTTCTTATCTATGAAAGAGAAATGAAGGCTTAAAGGAGAATGTAGTAATCTTATTAAATAACATAAATAGCCATGAAAATATGCTTTTGATTTCTTTTGTTATATTTTGAAATGATTTCTAAGAGAAACACTAAAATTCCCTTTGCTTCTAAAAATGCAAATCATACTGAAATTTTCTTGTTCGGATGGTCCTCCTCCCTCCCCATGTAGAGATTAATCACTTTAAGGTTTTGTTTTTCCCCCGATATAATTAATATTTTTACATATTGTCTGATGTATATTATATAGATAAAAATAAAAGTAAGTTTCCAATTAATATGGAACATGGATTTCATTATTTACAGACTTGAACATAGTAGTTTTGAACTATATTTGTAAGTAAATGACAAAATCCAACAAAATATCTAAAAGTATTTCAAAATGATACTGTTTCCCACCTTCTATTTATTAATAATGTGTAAGTTTTGCACTCTACATTACTGGATTCTTGACTTCTTTTTATTTTTGTTTTTTTTAGTACTGAAGAGTGAATGTAGGGTCTTCACACTGAGCTATCCCCTAAGCCTTTTCGCATTTTGTATTTTGAGACAGGTACTTGCTAAATTGCTAAGTTTCCCAGGTTCAGCTCAATAACATGATCCCCCTGCCTCAGCCTGCCATAGTGCTAGGATTACTCAAATGCACCAGTAGGTCCGGTTCCTCTTTACTGCTTTTATTTCTTATACAGTTTATGGCAGTTCCTCCACAGGTTTGTTTTTTTTTTTTTTTTTGGTTTTTCTCCGGTACCGGGAACCGAACTCACGATCTTGAGCTTGCCAGGCAGGCGCTTTGCAGCTGAGCTAAATCCCCAGCCCCCTCCACAGGTTTGTTAATTGAACGTGCTTGAGTGATCACATAACCACCACCCCAGAAATTTTATAAGAAAATAAAAGTTATGCAAAAAATCATGATTCAAACACAGAGTAGTGAGTTAAAAAGAAGGATAATGTAATTTCCGCTGATGACAACACTCTTTTGCGGTGACTCAGTCAAAACACCGGATCAGGAAAGAAGCAAATACAACCCTTACCTAACCCTGACCTAAGCCTATCATTTGAATAAATGCTCTTTATTTTCAATTATTAAAACCAGCCTTTGGATAAAGCATACAATAATTTCTATGATTGTAGTGCAGGATGTAAATATTAAGAAATTTTCTCTGTAAGATAAAAGCATAGTTAATGAAATTGTTTACAGGTGTTCAAGAAGTTGAGATTAGAAAGAAAATATTCTCATCATACAAAATGAAGATCAAAAGATGACTTTGAAACCAAACATAAAAGGAAATTGACACTGATTATAATACATAGTTAGAAAATAACTGACACAATAACCAAAAGGTTATAAGTGAAAAAGTTGAAAGGAAGAGAAAAATAGAAATAACACAAATGTTTACAGCTTTATAATTCAGATAAGGAAATTAACACATGATATCTAAAGTTAACAAATGCCATATAATGCATGTAAAAATTAAATTAGAAATAAATCTCTGTTTTTATATCCTAGAATGAAGCATGTCACTCCCGGAACATGAATGAATGACTGAGGCTAAAAGTCTTAACACTGGGAATTCAGCAATTTCATTTTGAAACATGTCTACCTACAAGTGTGCTTCAGTGAATGAGCTTCTTCACCTTCTTCACCCTTCAGGATGCAAAGGGTCTTGAACAAGAATAAATCTCTATGTGAAGATAGAAAATTCCTGTGTTTCTTGTCTATTTCTGTATGATGTCCCTATAACCCATAGGGACCTTGACAGCAAAAAAGTCATCACCAAATGTAATCCCTCAACACTGGAACTGTACCAAGCACCATGAGACAAAATAAAAATCTTTTTTAATGAAAATTTACAAGTCTGTGCTATTGTGTTATTAGCAATAGATGGACTAATTGAGGTATTTATTGTTTTAAAATTCTATCCTAGATGGTGGGAAATGACAAAGAAAAAGACAAATAAGATCACTGCTTTTACAAATACTACATTGTAGTGAGAAAGGGATATAAAATAAGCAAATAGAAAAAGAAATGAATGACAGTTTTTAGTGTCTGAAAAATATAAACACAATTCTATCACTTTTATCTACACCTCTATTTAAGCATAACTAAACTGTACTCACCATCCAATACAAAAATATCACCCTAATCCCCAAGAAGTATTTCTCACTAACTCACAGTCTTACTTCCCACTCACTGGCTCTAAGGTCTCTGCAGAGAGAATCCCTGCGTGGTATGTAAATGTTGCTTTTTCTCTCTTTGTTTCACTTGTGCATATTTTGACTCCTTAGGCACAGATGAAAGCTCCAGAGAACAAGGATCCAGCCTTGTTATTCTTGGTCTTCTTTGAAGCACTTTGCATTCTTTTGAACTGAACATGATGTAGAGGTTCCCTAAGTTCCCAAGAAATGACTGGGGAAATAAATGCCCCACCAAATATCTCACATTACAATTCATAACTTAAAAAATATTTAAATAAGGTCAGCTTCATCATTCCCTGTGGATATTATTTCTTTTAAATATCTCCTTTAAAATATAACACTTGCTTAAAGATCCCTCTGACATAAAGAACTTTGTTTTCATCATTATTAGTTTGTTTCAACTTTATTTCTGTCTCTCACTGTTAATAACATGAATATGCTGGACATTACTGAATTCAAACACTGCTTAAGTTGTGTGTACTTGAGTACAAGAATCCCTGACGCACTATTACAGCTTTAAGTGTAACCACACTCCAAATCCATACACTGTACTGAAATTTGAATTCCCGGTACCTCAGGTTGGGTCTGTCCTTGGAGACAGAGGCCTACAAAGATAACTGAGTTAAAATGTGGTCCTTGTGGAAGGCCTTAATCCACTTGACTGGTATTATGAGAAGGAAAATTTGGGGTGCAGTGATGCCACAGGAGAGGTCACAAGAAAGAAGTGGCCACCTGCTGGTGAGGAGAGCAACTGACAAGAAACCAAGCCCGTTGTCACCTTGACCTCAGACCTCCCACCTCCAGACATGTGAAAAAATATCCATTTCTGTATGTCCCGCTGTCTGTGGGACTTCAATATGGCAGTCCTAGCCAAATACCACATTCACTAATAGAGATTTTGAATACATGTGTAAAATATAAGAGGGAATTAAGGCAAAGGTAAATTGTTTCTGCCACAGAGTCTCCAAGGTGTATACTGAGAAAGAGGGAAGGATGGCTGGAGACAGGAGGGGAAAGAGGTAAAGGAAAACATATTTAATGAATACCTATTAATTTCCAGAACTTTTTAACATAAATGAGATCCTGAACATAAGGTTCTTGAACATAAATAATATCGCCTTATTTAAATTAAATATTATAAATAGAAGATGATGTGTTAATATACCTTCTGTTAAACACAAGGAAATAGAAAGTCAGGTAACCTTCAAAAGGTCCTACTGAAGGAATGTAGCATTAAGTTTATTCAGTTCCAGGTAATATGACTTAAATTTCAGTGTTCGGGCCCCTGCAATATACTGAGGATCTAACAGCCCCCATGACATTCAGTGACTCTATACACTGCAATGCAAATGCAATGTGAGTTGCACATAAGTAAAAAATAATTTATTAGAATTCACAAAAAAATTTATTTGAAATTGAAATTCAGCTGTGTGTCCTTTATTTTACCTTTGTTAGTCTCTCTATACACTTCTAGAACACCAACATTTATAAGAAAGTAATGAAAAAAGCATAAACCTATAAGGACAAGAAATAGAAGAGAAGGCCATGGTAATAAAACATAGTAGCTATGGGTTGAAAGTGTGTTGTAATTAGGTGATTGAATGAAAATCTAGACCTGAGAAGGATGATGCCAGATATTAGTTAAAAAGCGATGGGCAACTTCAAAATTGATCAGAAATGGTGGGCCTCTAAACATCCAAAAATAGGAAGATGGATTAAATTCAGAGGAAGACTGTGTTATTAAGGAAACAAGTAGAGCCCAGGACATACAGCCAAGGGCGTGCACGTCCTTCATTCCGGGCAATACTAGAGGTATCCCTGAAAGAAAACTAAGGAGGGTACTGGGGTGTGGATTCAGTAGTAATCTATAAAAGAGCTTTGCAAAGTTGAGCATGAACAGCGCTCACCGCGATCGCTGTAACAGCACAGACTGTCGGGCCGCAGTGTAGAGTTCATGATGTGTAGGTCTAACACAGGCCCTCAAAACTGTACAGTGGTGACACATCCCCAGGTGCACGGTGCTGCTGGTTTACTCTGTCTTCACTTCAGGCAAATATTAGAGTCATATGGCACACCTCTGAGACTATTGCTAGGTTCTGCCTCCGCAGATTGCATCTGAAGTGTTTCAGTCATTGTTTAGCAGCAGGAGTATCACATCTCTTACTCTCCTGTTCAACTAAGCTTCAAATCCACAGACCTCACTGCTAAATCCTGTGACCTCAATCTTTAATTTCCTACTAAAGGAAGCTGGTGTCCATGCTCATATTTTGCATATCATATATGTGTCTCCTATTTGGTTTTTGTTTTTGTTTTTTTCCAGTACCAGGAATCGAACTCATGACCTTGCACTTGCCAGGCAGGTGCTGTGCCACTGAGCTAAATCCCCAGCCCCTGTGTCTCCTATTTGTGTAAAACTGTACAGACTAATTTGAACCCCCAGTACCTCAGGATGGGTCTGTCCTTGGAGGCAGAGGCCTACTAAAACATAACTGAATAAAGAAATGTTATCTTATCAAAGAGATAAGGACTGGGGCTGGGGATTTAGCTCAGTGGCAAAGCGCCTGCCTGGCAAGCGCAAGGTCGTGAGTTCGGTTCCCGGTACTGGAGAAAAACCAAAACCAAAAA